GCTGCTGCTCCGCAGAGGGAACCGGGCAGCCCCTGCGCACCGGCCGCCGCAGCACGCAGCACTTCCCGCCGTGGACGGACAAAGCCTCGCAAGTTTTACAATCTTTTTCTGATTGTTTGTTCCCTTACTTTCCCATACGGAGGCGAGCGCTTGCGAGGGCTGTGCTGCGGACGGAGGAAAACAGTCCACAGGTCTCCTGCCCAAGACAAAGCATCCAGAGCCCACGTGGGGTATAATCTCTGCTCAGTTGTTATTACTTCTAGATAAAGCAGAAAGCTATATATCCATATGAAAAGCAGCGATGTTATTATTATCGGTGTTACAGAAACAAGCTCTCAGGGCCAGGAGGAAAACAGAGTTAGCCACAGTGTTCAAAAGCCGTGGGAAGTGCCTGGACCAACCCCCAGGCCTGTACGGCAGGAAGGTTCCCTCCAGACCACCCCTCCATTTGCGCAAAACACAACCATGAAAAATGTAGCAGCATGTGCAAGAAAAACCTGCACGTGAACAAGAGAAGGAGCCGAGGAATCTGGTCTGGATAAGCCTTCGGGAACACTGGAGATTACAGTTCAAATAAACACACACCAAATAAACCTAAAGCTAATTTGCAACTCTACTGAGCAGATTAAAACCAAGCAAATAGATTTTACTCGTGTTTGTCTTTCCAATTTTGGAAAAGCAAAATGCTTTTGCTGGTTGAGCTCTTGAGGCTTTCTAGGCCACTGTTAAGAGTGGAATTAGCCCGTGCCTCAAGGATCCACAGGCTCCTCTCCCTTTCTACTAAAACCTCCCTGCCTCTCTTTGCCCCGCTGACCTGCCATCAGTCTCCCATCTCTCTGGAAATGCCCTCTTTCTCTCTCTTCCCCTCAGTTATCATTTAATTCAGGAGAGCACTTCTGGGAATACGGTGTGTAAAAAAGCCGTGGTCCCAAACAAAGCTGCTTTGACCAGATGATGAGCTAAACCCCGACCCTTTCCCCTATCTCTGCGCACAACAACAGAGAGATGCTGCAAGTCTTTTTCTTAATAGTCAAGGGAATTTTCATATCTTCTCACGAGAGAAAAAAAGGTACCTTTAAAGAGGAGTTTATACTTAAGCTTCCTCCAGGTGAACAAGGGCTTGACCTTGCAACCTGTTTCAGACAGGTACTGGAGCAGACCACCCCACCCGACACTGCTCCAGCTGAGCCCTGAACTTCCCCCAGCAAGGACATGCTGTGGGTTGTGGGTCTGGGAGCTAAGCTCCTCCGCTCGCGCACGCCGGGGCGACTGCGAGAAGCCTGGAAGCCTGCCCAGGCATGGGTTTATCAGAACAGGGAGCAGGGGCTGAGGAAGGCTTAAGGATCCTCCCCACCCTGTGAACATGGTCTGCATGTCCTCTGTCATGGACACTTCCCAGCGCCATGGCCAAGTGACTCATCCGTCTGCAGCACCGCTGGCCCCTGCCTGCCTGATACTGCTGCAAAAAATCATTCCGGCAAGAAGAACCATTTTCACACCTGGCTGGTCTTCCTCAGCCATGATTTCAAATCAATGGAGCCTGTGACCAGCCAGCCGAAAGAGGCACTATCTGTCACCATCACAACCGAGTTAGACATCATTGGTAACATCCATTCACATCAAATGACTCCTCATCCTCAGGTTGCACTATGAATGCTTTCCAGTGATCATCCAGCCCTTGCTCACATAACTCACATCACTCCCGACCCTGAATTCTCCTTCTCACCAAAGGCTTCCTATCTGTCACCTTCTCTGCAATATCACTGGGTTATGTCACTGCACTAGTCCCAGTTCCTTTCTGTCTATCTCATTCTCTCCTTCAAGTCTCTTAAAATTCTCCTTTGCTATCTCAGCTAGGCAAACCAATTCTGTTTCCTCCCTTGTGCTTTGTTCTGTCTCTGATCGCCTGCTGTCTTTAGCTTCGCAAAGAAAAGTGGTTGAGTTGGGAACTTTTTGCTCTGTGTTTTGTAAGCAGCATGCCTGGAGATCCCAGACAAAGAAAGCAATTGAGTAAATACGTTTTATTACCTACAGCCTTAAACAGTGCAACCGTGTCATCTCTGGAGTCCGTACAGCCAAGATTCCTAGACCATAGTAAAGGCTGTTTGATTAGTCTTCTAGCAGGTAGAGAGAATCACCTTTATATCACCTCCAACAACGTGACTCTGCAGTTGCAAGTTCTTCTAAAAACCTGGAAGAAGGGAGCAGGCTGGACTTCTGCCTTTCACTGGAGTCAAGAGACAATGCTCCTACTGATTCCAGAGCTCGGGATTCCCCGTGGTGGTGTATGCATACCCGTTAACACCACCGCTCTTTTCCCAAGCCACAGTAGGAAGCATTTTCATCGTCTGTTATTCTTCACTGCAGGGCCCCGTCCGAGCGTGTCCCCTGGGATGTGTTGTCTTCCATGAGCGTGCTCCATGCTCCTTGGCCAGAGACCTCGCCCCAGCCCCACGCTGTCCACCCACCTCTCCGCCAGCCCCGCGGCACCCTTCGCCTCGGCTGCGCTCCGCCGGCCTCCCTTCCTCCGCAGCATCCCAGTGGCCAGCCTGGCCTCTTCGCCGCTCCCCGGGACGGTGCTCGTGCCCCAGTCTCTCTCCTTCCCACATGGTGCAGAGCTGTGTTACGGAGCAGCGCTGCGACAGAGCTCCTCTGCCTCGGGCTCCTGAAGTCGAGGCCTGTCCCAGCGGCCTGAACGTCCCATCCCGCTGCCACATGTGAGAATACAGCCTCCAGCCTCCTCCTACAGCTGCGCTGGCTTTTCCCATCTGGGGGGAACTGCTGTTTACACGGAGATGGGAAGTGTTGTCCCTCCTACGTGAAGTTGCTAGCCCTTCCTGTGGGCTGGCCAGGGCCATATGATACAACCCCCTCATAAAAATAAGGTTAAAAATAAATGTCATCCACGTAACACTCTGGAGTATCTTGAAAGACAGGAGCAACCAGTGTGTAAACTTCAAACAAAAAAGTACACAAAGAAAAATCTTCACTGCCTCTCTAACAAAGCCGACCACAAAATCCTCTCTTTCCTAGAAAACAGGATACGCCTGCTGCAGCCTAATCTGAAGGGACGAGGCCTCCCTAACCCACCCGCCTAAGCATGGCCTGGTAGGAGCAGACAGGCTGCTCCACCGGCGCGGCTGTCGCAGAAATCCCCCACCGCTCCAGGACTGCAGTCATTCCCACCACCGCGGGCAGAGGATCAGCGTCCTGCGCGTGCAGAGCAGCTCAGGGAGGTGAAACGTCTTGCCTGCGGTCACAAGGCAAGAGCAAACCAGAGCCCCGAAGTCGTGCCTCGGGCACTGCCCAGCCTGGGCGCGCAGCGCGCCATGCCATGCTTGGGAGCATTGACTCCTGCTGCCACGTTTGCTTGGGAGCAAACAATACAGGGTGCGATGGCAGAGAGGAAAGGGCGTTAAACTGCAGAATAAACTGAAAATCCTATTCTCAAAGTTCTCATTCACGTCAGCGTCCATAGGGGACAGCACTACCCCACCACCCAGGGTTTCAGCTGGGCAATATCAGCCACAAGAGCAAAGAGGAAGAGTTTTAGCGCTCCTCAACCCACAGAGAGGGATGTTCTCCCAAATCCACGCAGCCAAGAGGGAGGCCCTGCAGATCAGAAGAATAAAGAGAAACCAGGTGGTCTAAGCACTGAGCAGGGCGAAAGAGGCCTGGGTTCAGCCCTGGCGCCTCCAGGGACTCTCGCCCTTTCTGGGCACTCCTCTAGCCGGCAAGCGCAGCTGACGTCTCCCCGCTGCAGGAAGGTGCTGCGCGGCTGAACGTGGAGTGGCTGCAAAGTGCTCTGAGAGGTTTGGATAGAAGGTGGCGTCACAGAGCGGGGCAGCGACACCCGGGTTTGATCTCTTTGGAAGACGTAACGCTAAGGAGCTCTCCCAAGGTATCACTCTGACTGCTTTCGGAGAGGAAGCTTTTCAAGTTGAAGAAAATGGGTGAAATGAAGCTGAAAAACACATCTTAGGCAGGGGTCATTGATCCTGTGACTCATTTTGGAGTGCACCATTTTGAATCCCTTATTTCCTTGTTTCCCCCTCCCACCCCCTGTTGCTTCTTCTTGCTGTTTTTACTCCAGTATTTGTGGTTGCAGGAAGGCCTCTCTCCAACACTGAAACGCTGTCACTGGTCCTCAGCTTTGATGAGCCGATGAGTGATAAATTCTGCATGAGAATGGCCTGGCAGAGGCACCCCCCCATGGACCTGATGGCTCCTAAGGAGCCTGTCTTTGGACCGAAGTCTCCCTGCACCCACAGGACGGGCCAGAGGGCAGCCCTGGGGCCTCTCCAGGGAGCTGGTGGGCAACGGGGACAGAGGACCCGGAAAACAGCCTCGCACACCTAAAACTGATCCCTGCTCGGCCGCCCTTGCCTCCCTGGAAAACGCTCCATTCTCTTAATCACTAAAATTGACTTTTGCAACGTTCTCTCCCGTTTGAATAAAAATTCCTTATAAAAATTCCTGCAGCCGGAACCAGTCCTGCTCCCGGCACAGAACA